AAAAAAGTGACAAAGTCATATATACTGCAAAAAATATTCCAGTAAAAATTGATATCCATGTAGGATAATTTGTTGTAACATATGAATCTCAAATATGCCAAAAGCATGGTCGGCTAATTGATTTAAAAGATTTTGTATCACGAAAAAAGAAAAGTACAAGAGAAAAATCAAACCAAAATTTTCGAAAAAATAACATTAGAAAAGATTGATCAATCAAAAATTAAAAATATGGTTCCTAAAGAACCACAACTGTCCGAAAATAATGAGATTTCAATAAATTATATGTTATGTCATAAATTATAGGAATAAAATAATATTGTTATAGACAATATTTTCGTCTTTAACGTAACTCTTGATATTATGCAAATGAGAATACCGAAATACAGTTTGTTAAAGACTTCAACATAAAAATGATTGGCCAAAGTGGAAAGAAGTCATACAGGCGGAATTTAATTATTTAGAGAAACGGAAAGTGTTTGGACCTATAGTTTAAATACCTAAAAATGTAATTCATGTTGTATACAAATGAGTTTTTCTATGAAAAAGAAATGAAAATAATAAAATTACAAGATACAAAGTCCGGTTTGTAGCTCAAGGCTTTTCACAAAAACCAGGAATTGATTATGAAAAAACATATTCTCCCGCAACGGACACCATCATTTTTAGATTCTTAATTAGTTCAACTATGTTCGAAGGCTCGATATGCACCTTATGGATGTAGTAACTGCCTATTTGCATGGTTGAGTTGATAATGACATATATATATGAAAGTTCTTGAAGGATTTAAAGTGCGAGAAACAAATGATACATGTCCGAGAACCATGTTCTCAATTAAATTGCCAAGATCATTATGTGGATTGAAACAATCTGGACGCATGTAGTATAATCGCCTTAACGAATATTTGTTGAATGAATGTTATAAAAATGACGATGTTTGGTCATGTTCTTTAATAAAGAAAACAAATATTGAATTTGTAATTGTGATAGTTTATGTTAATGATTTAAATTTAATTAGAACTTTTGAAGAGCTCAACAAAAAAACAAATTATTTGAAAAATGAATTTGAGATGAAATATTTGGAAAAAAAATTAAATTTTGTCTCGAGTTGCAGATTAAACATTTTCCAGAAAGATTATTTGTTCATCAATCTACATATACAGAAAAAGTCTTAAAACTCTTTTATATGGATAATGCACATACATTGACATCACTTATAGTTGTTCGATCACTTGATGCAGAAAAAAAATCATTTTCGTCGACTTGAAGATGGACAAAAGGTTCTTGGTCCTGAAATACCATATATTAGTGCAATTAGAGCATTAACTTATCTTGCAAACTGTACTTGATCTGATATAATTTTTTCTGTAAATCTCCTTACAAGATATAGCTCTACACCAACCCAAAGACATTGGAATTGTGTTAAAACGTATTTTTCGTTACCTAAAGGGTACTATTGATTTTTGATTATTTTATTCTCAAAGTGGGGATCTGATTTAGTGGGATATGCAAATGCAAATTATCTATTTGACCCAGATAATGTTAAATCAGAAACAATATAAGTGTTTACAATAGAGGAACAATTATATCATGGAGATCTGTGAAGCAATCCTTGATAGCAACATCCTCTAATCATTCTGAAATTATTACAATCTATGAAACATGATGAGAATATGTATGGTTGAGGAACATGACTCATCATATCCAAGTATCATGCATATTAATTTCAATAAAAGATAATATAACAATTTTGTATGAAGATAATGCCGCTTGTATTGTACAACTCAAAAAAGGTTATATCAAAAGGTAACATGACGAAGCATATTTTTTCAAAATTCTTCCGTACATGTGAGCTTTAGAAGAATGGCGACATCGATGTTCAACAAATTTGCTCAAGTGACAATGTGGCTGATTTATTTACAAAAGCACTATAAACATCTACATTCAATAAATTGGTTTACAAGATTAGAATGCATCGACTTTAAGATTTTCAGTGATCAAAATCAAGAAAAGTAGTTGTACTCTTTTTCCTTTACTTAGATTTTATCCCACTGAATTTTCCTAATAAGGTTTTAATGAGATAGCGTTTATCTTCAATATTCTAAAATAACTGTACTCTTTTTTCTTCGTTTAATTTTTTGTCCATTGGATTTTTATCATACAAGGTTTTAACGATACAGATATTTTGTTATGTGTCATTCAAGGACTGTTGTAAATAATATGTTTATTAGTGAATGACAATTATATTCTTATAACTCTAGAAGTTATTATCATTGTATGGTTGAGGAACATGACTCATCATATCCAAGTATCATGCATATTAATTTCAATAAAAGATAATATAACAATTTTGTATGAAGATAATGCTGCTTATATTGCATAACTCAAAGAAGGTTATATCAAAAGGTAACATGACGAAGCATATTTTTAAAAATTCTTCCGTACATGTGAGCTTTAGAAGAATGGCGACATCGATGTTCAACAAATTTGCTCAAGTGACAATGTGGCTGATTTATTTATAAAAGCACTATAAACATCTACATTCAATAAATTGGTTTACAAGATTATAATGCATCGACTTTAAGATTTTCAGTGATCAAAATCAAGAAAAGTAGTTGTACTCTTTTTCCTTTACTTAGCTTTTATCCCACTGAATTTTCCTAATAAGGTTTTAATGAGATAGCGTTTATCTTCAATATTCTAAAATAACTATACTCTTTTTCTTCGTTTAATTTTTTGTCCATTGGATTTTTATCATACAAGGTTTTAACGATACAGATATTTTGTTATGTGTCATTCAAGGACTGTTGTAAATAATATGTTATTAGTGAATGACAATTATATCCTTATAACTCTAGAAGTTATTATCATTGTACCTCTATAAATATCCATTGGATTTTTATCATACAAGGTTTTAACGATACAGATATTTTGTTATGTGTCATTCAAGGAGACTGTTGTAAATAATATGTTTATTAGTGAATGACAATTATATCCTTATAACTCTAGAAGTTATTATCATTGTACCTCTATAAATATAGGATTTTGATTTTCATTATAATACACACAACTCTATTGACTTTTATTCTCTCTTCTCTTTTTCTCTCTTTTCACAACAAAAACTCTTATTACGTCAGCTAAAAGATTACATTCCAATAAGATAGCCAAGCAAATTTCTAAGGAATGCATGATATCCAAAGTTGTATACAACCCATTTCTTTAGGGTTCTGAGTTCGCATACTAGCAAGTCACCTGAACATGAATAGTGGCAGATCGAAAGCATTTTGATGGAACCAAGTTTGACGAAATAGAATGAGACTGCCTGATAGCCCATGGTGCAACAGACGGTCGGAACCAACGCCTCTTTTCCCTTAGCAACTCCTCCCATATGCGCATGTGAAAAATATGAAAACATGACAAGTTTACCAGTTTTTTAATCTTGGCTATTTTGTGGCTATTGAAAAAGGAAAATCACCCCAATTCCAAAGGCTTCCTGAACCACAAATCCTACAAACACCAAAGTGGCTACAAAAGATATATCGGAGAAACACAGTGGTGCCGATAATGGCGATGGTCATCCTCCCCAAATAAAATCCTAACACTAACAAAACTATTTTGAAAATCACTTTAGAAAAACATTCTATAAAGTTGATTTCCCAAAGGACGAATGATCCTAAAAATTCTAAAATGAAAACACGAGCATCTTCCATGTTTAGAGAAGAAATAACGAACAATTACAGTGACACGGTATATATAGTTTTCAAGGATTGATCTTGACCGTTGAATCCTAACCGAATCAATCACAATCATCCAAATGTAAAGCCATTTTAACCATTGAAAAGCAAAATCATGTCAACAATCCAGATCAAGTGTATGCATCACGCGTATAGAAGTGCATGCACATTGAAAAATGCATTGATAATGTAATTATGAACGAGACATTTCATCTAATAACGTGTCAACTATCGTTAATGAATAGAATAATCGTAGAAGTTGCAGTATATATTCCTTATCTCAAGTCCAAGTTTGTCACATAATATGAATAGTTAAGCTTGAACATAGCGGGCTATTTTTTTGTTAATTTAATCTATAGAAAAATCAACTCACCAAGCCAAATCAAAGGGCTCATTAAAAAATTTTAGGTTCATTTGTTGCAATAAAATATGAATTGAGATATAATCATTAGTAGCGAACCTTTCTCAAAGACAACCGAACCATGTGCGAGCTAGTGATAGAATAAGCAACATTTATGACACGAGACTATATAATTAATCTCAAGCATAAATAGCTCAATAAATGTACTTAACCAATTTCACTAGCTAGTCCACATCGGTAAAAATCGATATCAAAGCACACATGGACAAGTGAATGGAACGTTAAAAAAAATATATATATAACATATTCAGTTAAAAGTTGACTAATCAATACCATATGGCTTAAACATTAAAGACTTATTTACCCCAAGGCATCATTAAAAATCTATAAATAAGCATAGTTGAAAATTAAAAAAGATAAACAAAAATAATTAACTTCATTTCAAATAGTTATTTCTCTTCTTGCTCTAGTTTGAACGTAAAATCAGTGAGTTTAGAGAAGAAAATCCCAATTAGGTGTGAGGGATTTATTGATCATAATTTCGAGGTCACCACAGTCATTTAACATATATAAACTTTACTCCATTAATGTAAAACAGCTTCGAGTACTACCTGTAAGATGAGACTGCCAATTTTTAAATGTTTTTTAGTCGCCAACAAAAAGAGAATATATTGACACGAGATTGAAATTACACAGAATAAAGTTTGAATTGATCATAGTGTGAAAATTTTACAGGTTTTTCACCATTCATAGTGATACAACCACCTACACTGGCAACTAGTATGAGTTACAACTTACAGCACTAGGTATTCTTAAGGCACGATACATAACTTTTTAACATACTTGAGAAAAGTATCATTCAGAACGACAGTAAATAGTTGTGAATTCTGTATCTATACCCCATTTCTTTATGAGCAGTTTGTATCGTAACTTGCCAATCCCAGCAACTCGGGACCCTCCAGACGAGGATTGTTCTCAAAGCTGCAAATATAAAAAACAGGTCAATGACGAAATATCAGGGGATGCCACTGGGAATTTGAAAAGCTAAAGCGTTCTATATAAATTGAGTTAAGGGGAATAAATAAGGTGCATAATTTGCAAACAACACAATAGCATTACATTAGCTTAGACATTTGATTTGAGTGAGTTGTATTTATTACATAGAGAAAATTTTAGCCAAAACTTCAAATTGATTTTTTCAATCAAAAAATCCTTCTCTGTTGCTTGTAACTACCGGTTGGGTTGGTTTATCGGAATCCAAATTATTCCTATAAACTCACTCACGGGTATTGTGTGCAACAATACATAGAGAATCAGCTTTCATTATATAGGAACATCTAGACCTTCTTCCACAAGTTATTCGTGTATAGATGCACAATTATCTCAAAGTGAGAAGACTACATATTAACTGAGATATAATTTGGGATGAGAAAGTTTCGTATCACTTCCAAGTTTTCCAGAAAATCATTTGATAAATTGACAGCTCAACCCTGAGGAGGGAAGTATAGGGCGTCATTTTGTACAACAAAAAATAAAATTTGACGTACAAAAATGAAACATTTCAACATAATGGTGGAAACAGAGTCAACATATTAAAATGAATCAGATGCAAAAGCCATTTAAAATAAAAGCAACCATAACGGACATTTAGAGACCAATATAAATCATCTTACTTGTTTAGGGGGATGTGCTCAAATGGACCGGTAGTAGGTATTGTACCGCACAAGTTGTTATTCGAGACATCCCTGGAAAATCAAGTGCAAATATTTTGTAACCATCCCATCCTTTGTAATAATAACAATTAATATAATAGTGCACATCTTAAGCACTTACACAACTTTCAAGCTAGATATACTAGCAAGTGCACTTGGGATTGGCCCTGTTAGCTGATTATCATTAAGACGCCTGTCAAAGTAAAGTAAGAGTTATTGACTTCATATAAAATGCTCAAGTAATATGCAAACTTGCACGCAGTTTGAAAATACATGTATGCAGAATGAGCAGGGGAAGAGAAGGAATGGGGAAAGGGAAGGGAGAGAGAGATTTTTGCTACTAATTGGACAAGTAAATATTCAAAACTTAAAAGGGAAGTATTTTGACGGCAACAATAGCCACAACCCTTATTCACAATTATCATGGGGTCAGCTATATGAATTCTGGACGGCAAAAAATAAGGAATGAAATGAGGCATTCAGGTAGGACAGGTCTAACCTACCAAGGAACATTTGGATTTAATAAATGAAAGAATGATATGGTATAAACTCACAAGAAGACAAGATATTTCAATTTTCCTAATGCTGGAGGTATTGTTCCCGAGATATTGTTGTTGTACAGATCCAAACTTATTAAGCTCTTCAAGTTCCCAAGCTCAACTGGAATTGACCCTTGAATGTTATTTTTGTAAAGCTCCCTGCAAATTAACAAAGTCAACTTTCAGTATCCTCAAATACATGTAAAGATTAGGTAAAGAAAAGAATCATAAATTGAAAGCATTCTTTAAAATAATTTCATAGTGCAAAATATAAAGATTGCTGCAGGCAATTATGTGTCATGGAAAGCTTTATTTATATGAAATATCGCTGAAAGGGCAAACCCAAAGGAAGAATTCTATAATACTCACAGATACTGGAGATGTTCAAGTTTTCCAAGCTCAGGCACCAGATGGCCAGACAAATTTGAGTTGCCAAGGTCCCTGTAGACTCATAACAAAATGATACACTTCAGACTCATATGCATCACAAAGGAAAAGAAAAGTTAGCTGCTACACCCAATAAACAAGCTGGAATATGTGTCTCAAGAAGAATGATATTCCTTTCATTTACATATAACAGTACATAAACATCAAAACGGAATAATAAAGCTTTACACTACGAAAACATAAAGAAATACGAGGGTATCTAAATGTCTTGGACAAGAATTCACAATGCACTAGAATAACCATGTTGATGGTCTTTTCTGCCAACAATGTTTAGAGACTTTAGAATTATGAGCGTGGTCGGAAGAGATTAAAAACGGATTAAAATTGAAAAACTAGCTATTATTTTTTACTTTTATTAGACGAGGGAGATCCAATAACGGCTGTATTTTCAATTTTAATTGGATTTTAAGCTTACCCAAACATGCTCTATGTATTATTTCGCACCAAGCAAATCCTTAAGCTGTCACCTAGCACAAAGATAGCCGATTTTCGTTGAGCTGGAGCAGGAATCAATTCTTCTCTGGTGTAAAATTTGGGGGACTCTTAACAAATTAAATTATTTTTTGAGTAAAAGAAGCCGATCCTAGTGCAATACTCGGCCCAGAAAAAATAAGCAGGTCTTTTGCTACAGCTTACCATCGCATTTTAGAGGCATGATATGATAATAATCTTAACGCCTATGCACAGGCAAATCGCAATCCAGATATTTTAATCTGTTGGCTGGCAAAGATAAAAACTTCCCAAGAAATAATTAATTGAATCAAACAGTATCTATCCATTTAAATATTTAACTCGGAGTGCTAATTTACTTTTTTTTAACTAGCTACAAGAATTAGTTAGATACTTTCATTTTTCCTCGATTCACCAAACTAAAAATTTCAAAAAATAAAATACTTGGAGAAACAATTCCACCAATACACACAGATACATATATATCTTAGATAGATGAACAGACTAATATATACGTACACGCGAGTGACGTGGTTGTCTTGGTTGCAGGTGATGTGGAACCAGGTGCACGGGTTGACGAGGTTTGCATCCCAGCTCTGGAGGATGTTATCCGGGTCGGATAAACTCCGGCGCAGCGCATACAGAGCGTCACCCTCAGAGTTCCCACGCGCTTTAGGTGCCATCATTGAAGATATTACAGTTAGGGCTACAAATACAAACAAATCTCTCCCAGACATGGCTCGGATTGAAGTAATTTTAGTGCCCATTTTTTGGGTTTCAGTTGTAACTTCGATATTCAAACAATTTTAGGGAGAGAGATGGGGAATTTATTCAATATTGGGAATGGCAAGAAACAACACGGTTAGAACAGAGAGAAAACTTGTATGACCTTTGATTATTTGACCATCGCTTTTCTTCTCAATGTTAAAAATACATTTTGGTCCTCGATCTTTTATTTTCAACATTTGGATCTTCGACCTTTTCAATTATTGTCGTTGTCCATTTAGAAATGTTACAGCAAGATAAATGTTAACATAATGAATTTTTTAAATTTCTTATAATAAATACAAATTTACTTCGACCGAAAGAAAATGACATATAGACGAAATATTGTAAATAGAGTAGCACTACTTTACTCTGGCCACATGGGCCTTCGTAATGTCGAGGGCTAGCAAAATTGATGATATGATTGACATCATACTTGTTCCACGTCAATTACCAAAGTCATGTGATGATCGTTATTTGTTGACTATCACGTTATTGAGTTTCTGTAAGTGAAATTGGACGAGAAATATTAATTTAAATCAAATCAAAGTATAATTACGCAATTGAATAGAAATTAAAATATACAGTTATCTAATTTACACTAAATTAAAAGAATAGATACCACAAATGAAATTTATGAGTAGAAATACTATTTGGTGGAGGACGACTCTGTCTCAATCAACATGAAATTTCCATTATTTTGACGTTTGAAAAGGTTTGGTGGAATTTAGGTCCCCATTCAAAGGTTGGCTTTTTCCAAGGAGTCTTACTCCACTCAGATTAAAATTTGAATTAGTCACAAATGATGGCCATTAGATAATGCCAATAATTGGTTAGACTTAGAACATGGAAGGAATTTTTATCTCGTTATTGGCTTTGGTGAAGGGATAATAATAAATAAAAATCCTATTTACTTAAATTTCTCTCGAGTTTTTAAAGTTTTGGTGAGATTTTTTTTTTTTTTGTATATATTAAACATAGTGTTATTTTTAGTAAAGAATTTTGTTGTGTACAGAATATTGTATACACAGAAGCCGGCCAGAACACTCACAAGCAGGTATGTCCCGACATTTTTTGCAATATCTTATTCACAGTGGGATCCACCTCCATGTGAGATTTCTGGTGATATTATGGTGAAATGGATTTGTTGTTTAGTAAATTAGGAGTTAAGTGAATGATTCCCTCCTTTAGTGAATCAATGTGATGCAACATTAAGGATTGAGGACCATCTGTGAAATAATCAAGAAGTTGCTATTGTTGAATTAAGCGACTTTTATTTTTTAGTGGACTTAGCTGGATAAATTGTCGCCACGAGGCTCACTAGTTCTGGTGATATTCTGGTGAAATTCTTCTGATGAAATGGATTTATTGTTTAGTAAATTAGGAGTTAAGTGAATGATTCCCTCCTGTAGTGAATCAATGTGATGCAACATTAAAGATTGAGGACCATCTGTGAAATAATCAAGATGTTATTGCTGAATTAAGCGACTTTTATTTTTTAGTGAGACTTAGCTGGATAAATTGTTGCCACGAGGCTCACTAGTTCTCATTCGATGGTGGTTTTGTACGGTTCTGTAAAAAGTAATGTTTATATAGTAACATTGGTGTTAACACGCCAACAGTGCATGATAAGTCCAATTAAATGAATTATACAAACGTTACTTCTCATTAAATTAATCAATCAGTATCACATCAATGTCACACAAGAGAATACTTATAGCACAATTGGCGTTGATAACATTATTATTCAAAAATTGCACGAAATGAGGGTGAATTGAAATAGAGTAGAAAACATCACTTACGGCACAAAAATGCCACAAGAATTGAATTTAGCTAATTGAAGAAATATCATTTTTCAAGAAGAAGAATAATAAATTTAAGAACTGGTATACTTGTAGTTAATCATCCAAGTAAATAATGCTCCTATTTGATTTGGCTAAAAAGATTGATTTCTAGTAAATTTTAATAAAATTTGATTAAATCTGTGGTTGAATAGTTAATAAAAGTCTCATAAAATGTGTAAATAAAATTAATTATTAATTTTGACTTGAGTTTTTATCAATTATTTTAGTTAAATCAAATAGAGACACTAAGCCACTCTTTGACAACTACTTTTTTTTTAAAAAAAATAGAGTTTTGAATAGCGATTTTTTAAGGAGAATGCGCAGTTAAAAAGTAGAAAAATTTTTGAATTTAAAAGCAAAATATTTTATTGTGTGAATGAATGATTGAAAATAAAATATTATTAAATTATTGAAATAATAATTATAGTCACTTGAACTATAATCGAGATGCTCTAACACTGCTTCCTAAGAGCAGCATGATAGAAATAAATCACAATTTGAACTTCGTGTCTAATTATGGTTAGAAAACATAGATAAAAGCGACTAAAAATCAATGAATGACTTGTCAATTACTTAACTCAAACTAAATCTCACACTATAAAACATAAAGAAAGATACAGATACCTCTTTTAAAAATGCTAATAAGTACATCTTGATTGTAAAAGAATCAAGAAAAAAAGAGAAGGAACGAACACTTGTAAACTCAAACTATATAAATGCACGCATAGACGATCGACTAGAATAAAAGCCTTCTCCTACAAGCCTCAAAGGGGAGTGGATACATGCAACAACATTTCATCAACTCTTTAACAAACTCTTCAATCAAATCTCTGCATATGTAATCTTCCAAAACTAATCCTATTCTCCCAACCTCTCTATTTTCGCCCCATGCAATGTCCCTACAAACTTCATCGACACTTTGTGACTTAGCCCTGTTGATCCATCCAGGTGACACTGTGGCCTCTCTTCTTATTTGAAATAAAGATCGATACACAATTGTAAGATCGTCTTCTCCGGGCTTCTTAGCTGAGCAGGGTTTTCGTTGATGTGGAGTCCATACTATCCCTGCACAATAGAAACTAAGAATCAATACGTATTTGGATGTAGAATTTGTTCGTTAACAGTATAATGAAATGGTTATTTAGACAAAGAAATATTTAAGTTTAATTCGAATGAGCGTAATTAAAATCTAGAATGAAAAGAAGAGTAAGAAAAAGAAGAGAAAGTAAAGAACGAAATCTGAGGCAACTGAAAACACTTAATTTCTCTTTAAGACAAAATTGTCATTCAACGATGCTAACGGTTTACGGAACTTGTCTCCCAAAATACAACAGATACAACTTGTGGTAGAAGCACTTCAAACCACAAGAAACAACAAACTTTGAACGAAAATTTTATCTTGACAAGAAAATGTTTTTGGAATGACTTTTTGAGAATATTTTACAAGAGTTTTTGATGTAATGCTCATTGTAAATGATAGGGGATGAATAATGGACGGTCAAATGGTCATATTTATAGAAGATGAGTGTTTGTGATTGACGTGTCACGTCTAAAACTCAGCAACCTTCACAAAGGAAAGCATCGCTAGCCAGTTGCTTTATTCTCGTTTGAGCGACTGTGATAACTATTCAACAGAACCTCTCTTGCTCGCCTGTCGATCGAGTGGCAGTCTCATCGCTCGAGCACTAGGCAATATATGGAGTTATGCATTTTTCTCGGCCAGTTTTTCCTCTCTTCTATCCAATTTTGGGCCGTGGCTGTCGCTCAAGTGACAGTCATATGTAGTGAAAGATCGATGTTTTTCCTTCCAACTTTGGATTACCATTTCTCATTCATTCGAAATTGATTTTGAGATTTCAAATATACCACAACGATCTACTTAATGAGTAGAACACATTAGTCTATTTATATTTATAATTTGACTATCAAATTAAGTTCGAATATTTTGTCGAAATTGACACAGTCACTTTTTAAGTTGTATACTAACTAAATTTTCATTCTCTAAACCAAATTTCAACAAAATTTGAAATGGCTGAGCAGAATAATTGACAAATATATTTTGCGTTAATCTTGTAAGATAAAAAAGGTGATGAAAGTGGGTGGACCCTAAACCTGAAAAAGTGGAGCTTGTCACCTAAAGCAATAATAAACAATGATGGATCTTCTTTTCTTTAGTGTTGTTGCAGGGAGAGAAGGCCACGAGCAATTCTTTTGTTACCTTTGGATCTTTTTTGACTGCATCATGAATGTCACTAAGTATATACCCCCTCCCACCCCACCCACCCACCCACAAAAAAGGGAAAAATATGTATTGTTATAGGTAAATGCAGTAGATCAGCTTAATTATATTGATAAATAAAGTAAAAGTCTCTCAATTAAAGGATGATCTTTCACTAATATTTGTCAAAATTGAAGGATGTTCTTTCACTAATATCTTGTCTTCAAGTCTCATCATAATTCGCTAACAAAACTTCCCGAATCAAGCTTTTGGTGTCTTCATATTTAATAGTTTGAACTTTTAATACGGTAGATCAAGAACAAAAGTAATTTTGTTTGTTTTTGTACTGGATAAGGGTGGTATAACTGCAACTCATAATGACATTGTCCACGCCAAACAGGATATTATTGCTACTAGAATACTTGAGCTCTAAAACATCTTGAATAAAGCTGTAGCAAACAGAGAATTTTGTCTGCATATCAAGAACGTGTACTTATGAAATTTCTATTCTATGGAATTTTTTTAATTAGTTGAACCTTAATTAATACTAATTTTAAGTACTAAGACTTTAGTTCTGGCAAAAAACTAGGTCATAGAAAGAAAGAAAAGTAATCAAAAAACTGGAAAAGGGACTGACCATCATTTTGTACTTTGGAGAAGCTACTCAAAGGTGAACGAGTGAACTCGTCTAGCACGCAGACCGGACTCAGCTCCTCAGTTTTCACGTCTGTAGAACATTCATTTCCACCACCACCTACCCCCTTCGTAGACTCCTGTGGCGGCCGAAGACGCTTACCAGAAGATTGCACCCTCCTAATTATCTTCTTTAGCGCTTCCAAATCCTCGTTGCATTTGTCCAGGGCTTGCAGTATCTTTTTTCTATTCACTGCAATGGGATCTTCGTGTAATGCAGGTTTTTTTACCAAAATTTCCTCCAATCCCATCAGCCGCGCCACCAAAGATGGTGTTTTCCGATTTTCTGAAGAGTTTCCAGAATTTGATCGCCGGATCTCTGGTGGAAGTGTTGGACTTCTTGGTATAGTATTGTTTGATAATCCCTTTGAATCAAGAATTTGGGTTTCAGTGTGTAATTTTTTGTTTTCTTTGACAGTAGATGGAGAAGCTTTTGTAGGAACTGATGCTTTGGCATTTCTTGGAGTTGACAATGGAACTTTTTCTTGTTGTCTTCTACCTGAAAATGGATAAATTGGATTTCGTTACAGTTCCAAGAATTCTTGGTAATTACATAGAATAAAACAAAGAAATTAAAGAAAAAAAACATTCTTTCATCATTATAATATAAATTCAATTTGCAGTTACTTAATTCTAGAGAACTAATCCTGCAAATTAACATTGGTGTGTTCAGGTGATGCTTTGCATCAAAATTAAAATTAAACGTAAAACGATTGGAAAAGAAGAGGGGTTTCTAACCAAAAGTAAGGAGCTTGTTCCGATTTTGGTACTTGGAAATGAAATGAATAATGCCGGACATGCAACCAATGGCTTTTGCATGGTGGCTTTCCGGCGGCGGCGGTGTCACTGGGGTCTCCCTGCGAGACGACGAGTGTGAACTTTCCTGTCTCTTCAGCATTTGGTGCAAGGAATTTTTCTGTCTATTCAGCATTTGGTGTAAAGCATTTCTTGGAAAAGCATAGAAAGATCAAAGATGAGAGGGCCGACTTGTAAAAGAAATAAATAACCGTTGGATTAGTGTTAGAAGCCAGTGAATGAATGATAAAAATGAAAATGAAAAATGACCAAAGAGTTGGGACATGTTCCTTTTGCATTTTAGTTTTCAATTTTGAGTTTTGAATTTATTTCTCAATTTTCTATTTCGAGTGTCACTTTTAAAACTATAGAAAATGCATTTGGTTTATTGAAAAATTATTTCTAGAAAAAAAAATTAGAAAATACGTTTGGTTTGATATTTTTATAAATTGTTATATGGTATTTTTTTTTCAATGATTTTGATGATTCAGTAAAATAAAATAATTATATTCGGATATATTATAAAGTATTATATACATTTTTCACCCATTTTCCACTACCGCTAATGTAGAGCCCCAAAATCGCAAACCCAATCGATAAAAATAAAATAAAATCAGAACCCAAATAATAGAACAAAATTTCAGAGCATAAATTAGAAGTTGCAAAAATGGAGACAACCACAATATCTAGAAAGAGAACCCTTGAAAATCTAGAATTTTTTGAAATATTTTGAAATCACACTCGGAATTGTATAACTCCAATTCTACAAAAACCACAACACGTTTTGGAAGATTGTGTTTCTAAGACCTTCGTTTAATGCAATGGTCCTCTTTTCTCTCCTCGCCCCCGTCCTTTCCATCGTCCAACTTAGGAATAATCCTTTGGGTATCTATGGGATCGAGTATGGGGCACACTTGGTCATATCTCTCGAAGGAAGCAAGTCCCGCCTTCCCTAAAAAACCAGCTTTAAAGGTGCCATTTCTGAAATTTGTCTTTGTAACTTTTATAGACTTTGGATGGTCTTGTGGCAACCTCCTAGTGGTGGCTTGGCTTTTAATGGGATCGGTAGCTAGGCGGGGACCGTGTTTGCCATACTCATCCCGTACTCGCTTTGGGACAACCCCGATCCCCTCTTAGTCTCATTTACCCGATTAGACGGGTAATCCCTACCCCATTCACGGTAGGGTCCCATTGTATCAGGTTGAACGAATTTTTTACCATCCCTACCTCGAGGGTATTTGATTGATCGATCTGCAGTTGAAGGGAGATTGTGATTTTCTTTAGCTCTTCCAAACCTAATTTTTTGTAGACAAAAATACATTAAATTTATACTTGCTCTAGATTAGGTTTAGATTTGAGTTTTTTTTTCAAACCGGTCAAAACGGTTTGGTTTAGGTTTGAGCTTTTCTCAAACCGGTCAAAACGGTTTGGTTTGAAAATTTGTCAAAAATCGCAAAAACCGGACCGCTTACATCCCTAAGTCCCGCCTTCCCTAAAAAACCAGCTGTAAAGGTGCCATTTCTGAAATTTGTCTTTGTAACTTTTATAGACTTTGGATGGTCTTGTGGCAACCTCCTAGTGGTGGCTTGGCTTTTAATGGGATGGGTAGCTAAGCGGGGACCGTGTTTGCCATACTCATCCTGTACTTGCTTTGGGACAACCCAGATCCCCTCCTAGTCTCATTTACCCAATTAGACGGGTAATCTCTACCCCATTCACGGTAGGGTCCCATTGTATCAGGTTGAACGAATTTTTTGTCATCCCTACATCGAGGGTATTTGATTGATAGATCTGCAGTTGAAGGGAGACTGTGATTTTCTTTAGCTCTTCCAAACCCAATTTTTTGTAGACAAAAAAACATTAAATTTATACTTGCTCTAGAATCACATAAAAAATTAAAATTATAGCTACTTCCTATTGAGTAAGGTCAATTGAGACTCCCTAAATTCTTTAGTTTAGGAGGTAGTTTGTGTTGGAAAATAGCACTACACTCCTAATTTAGCGGATGGTCTCAAATTCGTTGAGCTTTCTTTTCTTTTATAGGATATCCTTTAGAAACTTTGCATAGCTTGGCATTTGAGATATGACTTCAAGTAATGGGATGTTGACATGAATCTTTCTATATATGTTCTAGAACCTTGCAAATTGTTCTTTGAGATTCTTCTTTTGCAATCTTTGTGGAAATGGAATAGGAGGCAAATATATCTTGATAGGAGTGGCAGCCTTAACTTGTGGACTGTTTGAAATATGATTTGAAATTATTTTTGCCGATTATTCATATTGATCCACGTACTCCTCATCCATGGAAGATACCCTTTTATTCTATACCACCTGTTTCTTAGTTGAAATTTTTGAAAGTTGAACCCCACTCCACATAGTGATTGCCTGAACCATTTCACCTTTGAGACTCTTTCGAAGTCTTTAAGGAAAATGAATAGGAAGTATATATACCCGAATTGGAGATTGTGTTTTAACAGGTGGATCCTTAATTATTTTATTCTCTAATACACTTATGGCCCTTACCTGTTGTTTGGAATTTGTTTTAGTGTTTCTTTGTAGGGTCCTTGGTTGTCTTTCTGAAAGTACCTTGGTTTCTTGTCCCATCTGATTTTCCAAATTCTTTATTGTAGTCCCTTGAACCAGATAGTTTTTAGTCTTTTGCATGAATTAAGTTGGTGATTCAGCCATATGCTACTAAAAACCCGGTAGTGCATTCTAATATGGTATACCCTAAAAAGACAATGTATTACTCTAAGAGAAATTTTGATGATTTCTCCAACCCGGATTGTATGTATTGGAATGGGTATTATTCTGCTACCTTTGGTAGTTTTGCATATAATTCATATCATGAGTTGATTTAACAAATAGACTAGCCATGTTACAATCCTTACTTTCATGATTACCTTCATAATGGTTGCATTTTGGTTCAGATGCTTGAACTACATTTAGTGTCTGATTAGCTACCATATTGTCAACCTTTTTAACTAGTGATGCTAGCTATGCTAAAATTGCTATTAGTGTGTCAACCTAGTGCATCCTTACAGTTCTCTTTCCATCTAATCTCTCAGTCGGCCATAATGCACTAGTGTATGCTAGATCCTCCATTATTTTATATACCTGATCCGCTATCCTTTTTATAAGTGATTCATTACAGATTTAGTCTAATATAAGCCGTGCTTGTCGAATTCAACCCGACATAGAAGTACTAGATCTAGAGCCATTTTTGCAGCACCATGTTGTGGATATTATCAAAGTAAACATGTGTATCTATCCCATGCCTCGTAATAACATTCTGAATCAATCTGAGAGAGTAGTGATTTCAACTCTCAACTTGGCAATCTTCTTTGGGGGAAGTATTTGTTTAATAATTTTGGCATAGAATGTCTCAATTAATGATGCTATGAGATGAGAATGTGTCCAACCATTCCCTTTCTGAATCTCCCAAAAAGTATGGAAAGAGCCTCAGCCGAATTACATTGCTAGAAACCCTCGAGCATTCAATTGTCGCACATATTAAAAACCTCGAGAGATGAGCATTTGCATTGTCAGTAGGCCTCCCAAAAAATTGCAGTGCATTCTGGAAATTGTTTATTACATTCATCCTTAAGTTGAAATTTGCTTACTTTAATGCTAGATCTACTTTATGCCACTGGTGGAACCATGTATTCTTCTATTAATCTTTCGTTCTCGTTATCTACAGTTACAATTGGATGTGCTGCATCTCCATTCACCTCAATGGCTACTTAGTTTCGTATGTTTTTTTGCCATTGGTTATGTTTACTCTTTTTTATATGCTTCTGTCTATTATTTTCCTCTCAATCTAAATGTTCATTAGATTTCGAATCACATTGAACAAAATCATCTTATCTCGAACTTTGCATGCGAGCTCCTGAAGAGGAGAGAAAACAATGCATTTTTTTCTAATATTAATTTAAAAACTAAGAAAGCAATAAGAAATTCAATATAAACTATAACTAACTAAAACTAATCAAATATTGTAGCCCCTGGCAATAACACCATAACTTGATCGTACGAAATTTCGCAGGTGTATGGTATTGTAAACAAGTAATAAAATGATGAATAAAAAATTTATGAAAAATTTATACTAACTGGTTAAATTAAATGTTCTAATGAGCAAACTATAAGAGCTTTTGTAAAATTAAAATTAAATGCTTATTAAGACTTCGAATCCCCTAATTAATTCAATTTAATACAATAACATATCATGATATACGTATGGATTCCTGTTGATTAATGTTTTTCAATTATTTAATAATCTTTCTCGAGTAGAATTAAATATATCATCTCATGTGATCTTCCTATATTTCTATGAAAGATGTGAATATGAATGAAAACATTAAAAATCTTAGATCATTTATTGAAATCATGTAAAGTATAAGAGTATGTCTCTATTCTCTATCGGATTTCACTACAATTGTTATAATATGTTATCTACCTTATTGTCTCTCTCGACAACAATAAAATTCAAACATCAATTTAATTATTAGCTAATTAGTTGAAAAACATTAAGTCCTATAAAAATCATATAAGAATAAACACATATTGGGCGTAAAAAAATATTGAAATTATATTAAAACTTTGTAACAAGGATTCATCAATGCCTTACAAGAAACAATAATTATTTTATAGAACATCACCCAAATTTTTAGTTGAATGAAGAAAAAGAGGAGAAATTTTGAACTTCTTGAATTCTTCAATGGTTTGTTGATTGTTTCCAATTGTACCTTCCACTTGTTTGCCCAAAAAATCAAGGTTGGATCTTCAAATGATTGAATTCATGTAGTTTGCCTATTAATTTTCCAAAAAGAATGATGATTTGCTTTTCTTTGATTGCAATAATTGATAAAAATACGATATGAGAAGATTATGAGAGGGTATGAGAGTTTTTTAATTTTTTTTTTTTTTATCTATAAGGTTCGAATTTAAGTTGAAATCCGTGTCCAATTTGGAGTTTTAGATGAAAAATGACTGCTAGAAAAATATTTTCAATTTTTGGGGACTAAGTTGCGCAAGAATCTTAGTTTTGGGTGCCCACGCAACGTTCAGACAAATTCAGTTCCGTTGCTGTAATTTTCGTAATTA